TCACCGCCATATACTTCTTGTGCAATCGAAAAACGGCCCATTTATAAATTGCAATCTGGGTCAGGTGGGCATAATTTGAAAGCTTGTTCTATTGCCAGCAAGGCTAGCTAAGTTCTAAAATACGATCTTACTGTGTTAGGCTTTCACAAGGCAATTCAGAGAAACAAATCGTAATTTTGATGCGCATAGAAAGGAGTTGAGTGCATTGAGGCAAAACGTAGGCTATTTCTGTTCAGAACAACCCAGGGTATGACGACATGTCATCTTGTAACTGTACATCAAACATGGTGATCATAAACGTTGACACTATATAACATGAGTTTTATGATTTGGAAATGTGAAGTGCACATTTGGACACATTTGTGGGGTCTGGCTTGGTTGTATGACATCAAAGCGGTATTAATTGAGTCATCTTCATTTACAGCATTTCCCTCACTCTGACAACAAAACATTTGCAAAAGTTGCCCAATTAGCTGGAGGGATGGGGGCAACTTCTTGTTGTGTGCAGTGCTCAAGTTCAGAACGGCTGTCAGTCGAAACCCATACAGCTCTGTGAAGAGAAGCTGAGCTCTGACACCATTTATAGCATGTTACTGCGTTCCAATTTAGGCACTTATCAGTTGGCCAAATCTGCCATTTTCAACCAGTATACGGGTACGAGTGTAAAGTGTTCATGGAAATATATTGGTTTAAATAGAAGCGTGTTAATGTAACATTTGTTCCAGTTATGTTTGCAGACCTGTCACAAACATACTCCTGAAAGTCCCCATGCGAGTACAATCACACTCCAGCTGTTAATATGGCACTCTACAATTTTCGAAAAAAGCCTATGTTTTCATGGTACATTATTCACTGAAACATCATGCAAGAGTAGATATTGTAAACTTACATCACAGCTGACGAGATGGATTGAAAATGTGAGTACGCTCCCAAGGTCTCACAAAGACCAAGCATTTTAGGAACAACATTGATATAGACTTTGGATCAGGACGGCATTATCCCAGGTGCACTGTTTTGAGCACCACTCTCTGGGACTTAGATCTACTCTCTTTTCCACCTCTCTCTATTTCCACCATTTGCCCTCTCTGTCTCTCTCACCTCTCTTCCCCTCCCCATCTTTCTCCCTCCCATCCCCTTTTCTCATCCCTCACATCCCCAACACAAGACCCAGCCTTAAATAAACATGGGCGGCTGGCTGGATCTCTACTCTGGAGAATGCGATCCATCCCAGCACCTAACCCTGATTTACCTTCACGGCTCTCCGATAAGGACCCCCCCCCTCCCCAAATGACACCCTATTCCATATAATTGTGCACTGCTTTTAACCAGGACCCATAGGACTCGTCAAAAGTAGTGCACCAAGTTGGGAATAGGTTGCCATTTGGGACGTAGACACGAAAACCCCCCCAAAATGCAGCACGCCCTAAATCCGAACGTCAGTCACCAAGATAAATGTTTGTTGTTGTCAGCTGATGAATGAGACTGCACCCCATTCTCTCTGTCATTCAGAAAGTTAATCATAGGGTTTATAAAGAATCTAGAGAACCATTCTCTTGCCAGTCAACAGGGAGCTCCCATTGAGAAGAGCCTTTTGCTGTGACAGGCTGGCTGGAAGAATACTGTACTGGATGCTAGTCCATGGATGTGCTGCTACACAATCATAATGGAGAGGTTTGCTAATCTTTGCAAAATTCTGGTTGCTTCCCCAAAATTCCAAGGTTTTCCAGAATTCCATCTCCCAAAGGAGTTGATATGCAGTGTATAGGCTATGCGTGGTACCATCATACTTCTGCTAAGGATCATGTCCTCCAGAAAGACAGGGGTTATATGTATAAGTGGGGAATGTGTGTGAAGGGAATAAATGTCAGCTGAGCATCCCATGGGGTGTGTGTGTGTGTGTGTGTGAGCTCGCGCACGCACGGATCCTGCCCCGGCCTCCTGCACCCAGCTGCCGTGTTTGCCTCTACACAGTGGAATGTTGGAAAAACACGGTCCCAGTGTATTTTTACTGCATCAGAGGAATATTTTCAAAAGCTCGGAATAGCCCATGTGTGCGTCTCAAATGGCACCCTATTCCCTATGTAGGGCCCGTAGTGCTCTGGTCAAAAGTAGTGCACTTCTGTATATAGGGAATAGGACCAGGTCTCTCCATCCTAACACTGGCTGTTTCTTATTTGAATGAAAGAGAAACGGGAGATATTCAGACGACCTTGTGTGTTGGATGGCGTGGCTAGAAAGAGGAGAGAGGGGGAGAGAAGTCTTTTTTCTTCCTTTCCTCAGAAGCAGTCCGTCATGTGATGGCCAACACTCTCCTCACATGTCAACTGGTTGGGCCGAAGGGCCTTTAGCTCGGTAAACAAGGTCTTAAATCATATCAGAACCTGGGTTTCGTCTAGGGCTAGGAATTGCCAAGGACCTCAAGATACAATATTATCACGATACTTAGGTGCCGATACGATATGTATTGCGATTCTCACGATTCTATATGTATTGCGATTCGATACTGCGATTTTCAATCTTGGTTTCATCAGACCAGAGAATCTAGTTTCTCAAGGTCAGAGTCCTTTAGGTGCCTTTTGGCAAACTCCAAGCGGGCTGTCATGTGCCTTTTACTGAGGAGTGGCTTCCGTCTGGCCATTCTACCGTAAAGGCCTATTCATTCTATTTATGTGTGCTGCTGCTGCATTGTGGGAGGTGTTGCCTAGGTAACACCTTTAATTTTTCAGCAAGGAACAACAAAGTTTCATCACGTTGTTAAGTCCATGTTATCGCAGAAACGGACTTGAATGCCCGGCAATCCCGTCTTCAGTCAGCTGTTCGTTCCAAAAATCAAATAAATAAATAAAAATATATATTTTTTATGGTTATGAAGGAAATTTATTTTCATGACTGTCTTCATCCGTAACGGTCAGTTACACGGTTATACGATAATTGTGCCAGCCCTACTTGTGAAAACCTCCCATCTCTTTCATAAGGCTTTTATTGAGGGCCCTGTTGGTCCCTCTTTCCAACAGCTTTGAAATCTCCTTCTGAACTTTGGAAGAAACTTCTGTAATGGATTCAGTTAGCGAATTGTGTGTGAGTGTGTGTTATAATGTGTAGATGTGTGTGTTATGTAATTGGTAAGTGCATGCATGCATTTGGAAGGTGTGTTTGTGAGGTATTAAGGTGTGTGTGTGTGTGTGTGTGTGTCAGCCAACTATGTGGAAACCTCTTTCTATGGCAGCTGGACTGAGGTGAGTAGGCAGGCACACACCCCCCTCTCTTGTCGTTTTAAAGGCCCCTGCATATCACACGCACAGCATTCTTCAACGCACACACACACAGCCTTCATGTTGCACGCTGTTGACCTTCACTCTGGCCCAGTGAACCCAAATACGTGAACCCAAATACCAGCGTCCACCACCACCTCTTGACAGGCCTGCAGCATGCGTCTCCCCAGAGAGCACACTGACACAACAGCTGAGGAGGAGAGGAGGCTGTAACCGACCTTATGTAGATGCTCCACCCCCACTGGGAAATATCAAGGTTTTACTGCCATCTGGTGGGTAAATTATGTAATAGCAAGAACTCTGCTCTATGGCTAGCCTATATCAAGCTGTGCATTTTTACAGTTCCTCAATCGTGGTCTGAATTTTCCTTAAGGTTTGGGGGAAAGGGATACTAAGAGAAGTAAAGTTTGTCTCAAAATATTTGTATGTTATTCAATATATTGTGAGGATAGATTGGCCAACCAACCAACGTGTTTTGGTCATGGGCATCTTTTTCTATCCTGGATTTCGTTGACTTGCTATTGCAGCCCGCTGGCTTTGTGTGCCTGTCTTGTAGCCCCTCTGCTTTGCCTGACATCTTTGGTTTCCCCCCTGTGCTTCCCCAGGGAAGGACGAGGTGCGCGGGCAGCTGGACAGCGCCCTGCAGGACGTGAACGTGCGCTATGCTGTGCTGGAGGAGACTGAGAAGAGGGCCGCGTGCCGGGCGCTCATCGAGGAGAGGGGCCGCTACTGCTCCTTTGTCAGCATGCTCAAACCCGTGCTGGTGAGTAGCATCACACAGTTCTTCTCCCTAAATTCCCTTTCGCCTCTGTGTCTCGCTCAATCAATTGCTTTTGGACCGCTCCCTCTACACACGCGTGCTGAGTGCGCACACAAGCTCCCGTTAGGCCTACAGAAAGAAATGCCTATAAAAACGTATCTTAACTGATGGGATACACAGGCTAAATTCTTTGCCAAATGACGACAGTTTTATCACAATTCAAATGGGCTGCTTGACTGAAGTAGGGAAATAGTGTGTTCCAACAACTAGCTGCAGTTTTGGAATAATTGTGCCCTGTCTATTTTCTGCTTAGGCTACTTTGCGGTTGTCACTTGTTACCACAGCCACAGAGTCAAAATTGACTATATTAAAATTGTGTTTTTGTTTACATTTTCCTATTTGGTCTTTTTATGGTTAAGGGTTAGGTTTAAAAACTCATTTTAAGAAGATAAATTATAGAAATAGGCAGGGTTTGTGGCTGTGGTAACTAGTGGCAACCCTACTTTGCGATTTTTTGTCATTTTAGCAGACGCTCTTACGCTCTCTTTAGCGCCATGCTCTACCAACTGCTAGTGCCATTTAGAATTGGTTAGCCTAGGCCCATGGGTCTCCGACAGGTCGATCGCTAGCTACCAGTAGCTCGCAGCCCATCCTATGAGTAACTCACCAAACAATTCTGAAAGTACATGCAATTTTCACGTTTTCCACCGCAAAACTGTCATATCAAACACCGCATGCTCCCAGCTACAATCTAATCAACGCAACATTGACATTATCACACCCCTGTTAGCCGCTATTGGCTTAAAAAGCCAAACCTAACACAATATCTGCCAATTAATTTCCAGCAATATTGCTCCCGTCTGCGCATTTGTCCATCACTCCGTGTGTAGCCAGTTGATTTGATAAGTGTTGTGAGTTGACAGAAATACTTTCCCCAAAACCTTCTAATTTAAATGTTAACTGCAAAGATGGCTGACCTTGCAGAAGTATATCATGAATAATTTGTTATTGGCAAACTTTGCCATGAAATGAGTAGCAGCAGTAAAAAACCATCACTAGACCGGCCCAGTTAGAAAACACATTTCTCACTCGCTAAATGCATAATTAAAGCTGCAATTTGTAACTTTTTGGGCAACCCGACAACATTCACATAGAAATGTGAGTTTATTGTAGATATGTCGTTCTCATTGAAGGCAAGTCTAAGCAGCAGTAGATCTGTTCTATGTGCTCTAGTTTTGTACACCAGCTTCAAACAGCTGAAAATACAATATTTTTTGTATGGAAAATATATTTCACAGTGGTTTAGATGGTACAATGATTCTCTACACTATACTTGTTTTGTCAAATAAATTGAAAATAGGTGGACTATTTTGAATTTTAGCAACCAGGAAATGGAGGAGCGATTTCTACATAGTCCATCTTTAAAGTGCCATATGCACAATTAAAGGAGAATTACACAAAAAGTCTTAATGTGTTCGTTTTCTTCCAGACCTAAAAAAATTGTTTTCTTCAGATGCATTGACATGGACTCAGAACATCCAATTATGTTGTTTCTCTGTGAACAATTATAATTTTGAGAAAAAAATAAATAAAAATAAAAAATAAAACTGAGAAAACATAATTTGGGAAAATATAACACATAATTGGGAACAATATCCCAGATTTTATAGGGCCCCCTTAGTTATTTTATTAACCATTATTTTACCAGGTAAATTGACAGCAAACATAGTGCACTACATTCTCTTGTACACTAAGGACCTGGGGAAGAGTTGCAGGGGAGAAGAGAAGAATGTTCCTATTTGAAATTAACAAAAAAAAGTGTAGCTCGCAACGTTTCATTTTTTAAAAGTAGCTCTCATGCTATAAAAGGTTGGAGACCCCTGGCCTAGGCTATAATCCCCCTAAACATGGACAGGTTCCACACTGAAGATATACAAAAAAGATAGCCGCAATTCATCCCCATGCAGTGTTCAATGTGGAATTGTTAATACATTTAGAAAATTCCAAAGAACAGGCAAAATAAAAAAGTTGAACATCTGTATATCGAAAAGAAGACAGATTTTGGTTTGTAACCCTGAAAAAGTATTTCAACTCGCCAAATTGAGTCCCATTTCAAATGATCCCTGAGAATAACTGTTCTAGACGAGAGATGCGCATCACTTCACACTATTGTTTTATTTTGTTCTGATCTTTTACATCATGTTTTTTACTATAAAATAGCACTGTGATAAGGGCTCTGGAAATAAGAGGGACTTGTCTGCTAAATTAACAAAACAAGGCTATGCCATTGCACAGCCATAGGCTAGGTTACTAGATTGTGTTCCACGATATAATATAACCAGCTGATATTACGGTTTAAGTAATTTAATTTTAAATGGCACTTGTTTTTTTATTGACTGAATATATATATATATATATATATATATATATATATATATATATATACACACAGTGGGGAGAACAAGTATTTGATACACTGCCGATTTTGCAGGTTTTCCTACTTACAAAGCATGTAGAGGTCTGTAATTTTTATCATAGGTACACTTCAACTGTGAGAGACGGAATCTAAAACAAAAATCCAGAAAATCACATTGTATGATTTTTAAGTAATTGATTTGCATTTTATTGCAGGACATAAGTATTTGATACATCAGAAAAGCATAACTTAATATTTGGTACAGAAACCTTTGTTTGCAATTACAGAGATCATACGTTTCCTGTAGGTCTTGACCAGGTTTGCACACACTGCAGCAGGGATTTTGGCCCACTCCTCCATACAAACATTCTCCAGATCCTTCAGGTTTCGGGGCTGTCGCTGGGCAATACGGACATTCAGCTCCCTCCAAAGATTTTCTATTGGGTTCAGGTCTGGAGACTGGCTAGGCCACTCCAGGACCTTGAGATGCTTCTTACGGAGCCACTCCTTAGTTGCCCTGGCTGTGTGTTTCGGGTCGTTGTCATGCTGGAAGATCCAGCCACGACCCATCTTCAATGCTCTTACTGAGGGAAGGAGGTTGTTGGCCAAGATCTCGCGATACATGGCCCCATCCATCCTCCCCTCAAAACGGTGCAGTCGTCCTGTCCCCTTTGCAGAAAAGCATCCCCAAAGAATGATGTTTCCACCTCCATGCTTCACGGTTGGGATGGTGTTCTTGGGGTTGTACTCATCCTTCTTCTTCCTCCAAACACGGCGAATGGAGTTTAGACCAAAAAGCTCTATTTTTGTCTCATCAGACCACATGACCTACTCCCATTCCTCCTCTGGATCATCCAGATGGTCATTGGCAAACTTCAGACGGGCCTGGACATGCGCTGGCTTGAGCAGGGGGACCTTGCGTGCGCTGCAGGATTTTAATCCATGACGGCGTAGTGTGTTACTAATGGTTTTCTTTGAGACTGTTGTCCCAGCTCTCTTCAGGTCATTGACCAGGTCCTACCATGTAGTTCTGGGCTGATCCTTCACCTTCCTCATGATCATTGATGCCCCACGAGGTGAGATCTTGCATGGAGCCCCAGACCGAGGGTGATTGACCGTCATCTTGAACTTCTTCCATTTTCTAATAATTGCGCCAACAGTTGTTGCCTTCTCACCAAGCTGCTTGCCTATTGTCCTGTAGCCCATCCCAGCCTTGTGCAGGTCTACAATTTTATCCCTGATGTCCTTACACAGCTCTCTGGTCTTGGCCATTGTGGAGAGGTTGGAGTCTGTTTGATTGAGTGTGTGGATAGGTGTCTTTTATACAGGTAACAAGTTCAAACAGGTGCAGTTAATACAGGTAATGAGTGGAGAACAGGAGGGCTTCTTAAAGAAAAACGAACAGGTCTGTGAGAGCCGGAATTCTTCCTGGTTGGTAGGTGATCAAATACTTATGTCATGTAATAAAATGCAAAATAATTACTTAAAAATCATACAATGTGATTTTCTGGATTTTGGTTTTAGATTCTGTCTCTCACAGTTGAAGTGTACCTATGATAAAATTACAGACCTCTACATGCTTTGTAAGTAGGAAAACCTGCAAAATTGGCAGTGTATCAAATACTTGTTCTCCCCACTGTATGTATGTATGTATGTATGTATGTATATATATATATATATATATATACATACATACATACATACATACATACATACATACATACATACATACATACATACATACATACATACATACATACATACACTACCGTTCAAAAGTTAGGGGTCACTTAGAAATGTCCTTGTTTTCAAAAGAAAAGCAATTTTTTTGTCCATTAAAATAACATCAAATTGATAAGAAATAGTGTAGATGTTATAAATGTTGTAAATGGCTATTGTAGCTGGAAACAGCTAATTTTTAATGGAATATCTACATAGGTGTACAGAGGCCCATTATCAGCAACCATCAGCCCTGTGTTCCAATGGCACGTTGTGTTTGCTAATCCAAGTTTATCATTTTAAAAGGCTAATTGATCATTAGAAAACCCTTTTGCAATTATGTTAGCACAGTTGGAAACTGTTGTGCTGATTAAATAACCAATAAAACTGGCCTTCTTGAGACTAGTTGAATATCTGGAGCATCAGCAATTGTGGGTTCGATTACAGGCTCAAAATGGCCAGAAACAAATAACTTTCTTCTGAAACTTGTCAGTCTATTCATGTTCTGAGAAATGAAGGCTATTCCATGAGAGAACTTGCAAAGAAACTGAAGATCTCGTACAACGCTGTGTACTACTCCCTTCACAGAACAGCGCAAACTGGCTCTAACCAGAATAGAAAGAGGAGTGGGAGGCCCTGGTGCACAACTGAGCAAGAGGACAAATACATTAGTGTCTAGTTTGAGAAACAGACGCCTCACAGGTCCTCAACTGGCAGCTTCATTAAATAGTACCTGCAAAACACCAGTCTCAACGTCAACAGTGAAGAGGCGACTCCGGCGCTCGTCAAAAGTAGTGCGCTATGTAGGGAATAGGGTGCCATTTGGGACGCAGACAGTATTATTTATGATGCAACACTAGGCAATAGGAGCCCTGCAGTGTAGTAGTGTGTTTTGGAGTTAGGTAGAAATGTCCCTTCTAACCACTCATACTGGATCAGATCTGTTTTAATTCCTCTCAATGCTTAAAGATGCCTTCCAGGATCTTAAGCATTTACAAATTCGTAACATATTGTATTTTTTTCAATTCGGAACATATCACAGGAAATGTGCACAATTATTGGGAACCCGTTTTGGCTCATGAGCACTACTTTCAAAACTACTGGCTGAAATTATACAAGACCTCTGGAGCATCACTTTAAGGTTTGGATTTGGGAAACTGGGGCCGAATGTAGATCAAGCATCTCAGAGTGCTGATTTAGGAACATTTCGATCACAATAATACAATTACATGGACATGGGGACCTGATCCTAAATCAGCACTCCTCTGAGATGTTTGATACGTACGGGCCCTGATCTGAGATCTGTGGTACTTCTACCTATTCCAATGCTCGAGGTACAAGTTGCTGCATAGCACTGAGGGTCAGATCTACACTATATATACAAAAGTATGTGGACACTTCAAATGAGTGGATTCAGCTATTTCGACCACACCCGTTGCTGACAGGTGTTTAAAATCGAGTACACAGCCATGCAATCTCCATAGACAGACATTGGGAGTAGAATGGCCTTATTGAAGATCTCAGTGACTTTCAACGTGGCACCGTCATAGGATGCCACCTTTCCAACAAGTCAGTTCGTCAAAATTTCTGCCCTGCTAGAGCTGTCCCGGTCAACTATGAGCTGTTATTGTGAAGTGGAAACGTCTAGGAGCAACAGCGGCTCAGCCGCAAAGTGGTAGGCCACACAAGCTCACAGAACGGGACCGCTGAAGTGCATAGCTCGTAAAAATCGTCTGTCCTCGGTTGCAACACTCCATACCGAGTTCCAAACTGCCTCTGGAAGCAACGTTAGCACAAGAACTGTTCGTAGGGCGCTTCATGAAATGGGTTTCCATGGTTCGAGCAGCTGCACAATGCGCAATGCCAAGCGTCGGCTGGAGTGGTGTAAAGCGCGCCGCCATTGGACTCGGAGCAGTGGAAACGCGTTCTCTGGCGTGATGAAATCACGCTTCACCATCTAGTAGTCCGACGGACAAATCTGGGTTTTGGCGGATGCCAGGAGAACGCTACCTGCCCGAATACATAGTGCCAACTGTAAAGTTTGGTGGAGGAGGAATAATGGTCTGTGGCTGTTTTTTATGGTTCGGGGCTAGGCCCCTTAGTTCCAGTGAAGGGAAATCTTAACGCTTAAACATAACATAAAATGACATTCTAGACAATTCTGTGCTTCCAACTTTGTGGCAACAGTTTGGGGAAGGCCCTTTCCTGTTTTCCTGTTCCTGTTTCAGCATGACAATGCCCCTGTGCACAAAGCGAGGTCCATACAGTAATGGTTTGTTGAGATCAGTGTGGAAGGACTTGACTGGCCTACACAGAGCCCTGTCCTCAACCCCATCGAACACCTTTGGGATGATTTGGAACGCCGACTGCGAGCCAGGCCTAATCGCCTAACATCAGTGCACGACCTCACTAATTCTCTTGTGGCTGAATGGAAGCAAGTCCCCGCAGCGATGTTCCAACATCCAGTGGAAAGCCTTCCCAGAAGAGTTGAGGCTGTTATAGCAGCAACTCCATATTAATGCCTGTGATTTTGGAATGAGATGTTCGACGAGCAGGTGTCCACATACTTTTGGTCATGTAGTGTATTTCCATCCCCTAAGGATGGAGGAAATTGGGTAAACTGACCTGGAATGGGTCGTTAGGGGCGATTTCTATCTGTTGGTTGTCTGTCTGTGAACTGATTTGGGATCTGTGGGTAGGTGTGACTGGTTTTTGGTGATTGGTTGTGTGTCTGTGATCTGATCTGGGTTCTGTGGTTGTTTGTGTGCAGGATCATGAGATCTGCATGCTGGGTGAGGTGACCCACCTGCAGACCATCCTGGAAGACCTGAGCACCCTGACAGCCGAGCCCAGCAAACTGCCCCCCGCCAGCGAACAGGTTAGATGGATGATTCATACACACAACCAAACACTTGACACAGACGTCTATACTTTCACAAAAACAACATGGACACACACACGCTCGTTAGTGCCACACACACACTGACATCAATAAACCTTCACAAATGCACTTAACCACATACTCACACACAGTGTTAGAAACTCCCACTTATCCATATTCTCATTCTCCTACATTGAAACTCTTTTTTTCTCCCTACTTCTCAACAGGTGATCCTGGATCTGAAGGGATCCCACTACAGCTATAGTTACCAGACGCCCCCTGCCTCCCCCAGCAACACACTGTCCCGCAAGAGCAGCATCGGCGGGTAGCTGAACCCACACACACGCACGCATAAACACACACACACCACACTCACATACACACTCTACACAAAGTACTCAGGTAGACATATTGGCACACACATACACACTGATTCACACCAAATGTGCTGCCTTTGACACTGCATGGGGGGGCCATCTTGACATTTAGAGAGCTCACCAAAGAAGCAGAGTTGGAAGAGGGGAAGAAGGGTTGGGGGTGCAGGAAGAGGAACTGTATCAAACGGATAGTAATGGCAGCATCAGCTAAGTGAAGTTCAGTGTGTCTGTGCTATCACACTGCCTGGAGCCAGCTAAGGAAGTGTGCTCCCCGTAACAGGGTTCAATGGGGTGCCATTTGGGACGCAGCCTTGTAGAGGGATGATGAAGAGAGCAGACAACTGAGTAAAGTTCAGAGAGGACAAGTGAAGTTGAGCCAAGGGAACTGAAAAAGAACATGCGTGGCGGCATGTCTCTTTACCATCCCGGCCTGGGATGACACACCACACACACAGCATGCACAGAACACATCCAATCGCTCAAAGACACGTGCGCGCACACACACACATACACACACATGTTCCTGGCTGCATCTCACTGTATGTGCGAGGGTAATGTGTGTGTGTGTGTGTGTGTGTGTGTGTGTGTGAAGGGAATACACGTCAGTATCCCTTTGCCTGTGTGTGTTGAGTGTACTGGTCTTCCAGGCCAAAACCCTCGTCCCCCAGGTGGTGGTTGAGGTAGGGGATGACTTCCTCCATCATACACACAGGCTAGAAGGGTTAGCAGGCCAGTGGGAGAAGGACTAGGCCTAGATCTCAAGTCTCCATAAGGTGCGCTCAAATTTAAATGAGCCAAGGCAAATCAAATCCCCAAGTGCACCACAGCCGAACCGTAGTCTAAAGCACCTGAACGAAACGAAGTACGATTATCAGTGGATTTGAATGTGTTGATATGTATTCTATTGGAATTGATGTAGCTTATGACATTCTCTACGTTATTTGGTTGGCCAAAAGTGACTAGACTTCTATAATGTACAGTTAACATCAAACAACCGTATAAACATTTGCCGCAGAGCAACAGTAGCGAGCCAGCCTGTATGGGATAGTCATTTAGAACGGTAGTTTCTAGTACATTGTGTTCTCTGGACCAAGCTCAATTTCCACTTAAGCGGTCAGAAGTTATTTCCGAAACTTCTACAGCGCTCAAAGCCTGCGGTGTGTTGATCTAGCAGAGCATTTATGCATTCAAACCATTAAAATAAAGAGGACATGCTTTCTACTTTAGCTATTAGCATAGCCAGTACACCAACATCCATGAGTGCATTCACACATTTAGATTTAGGATGTGTCCCAAGTGGTACCCTATTACCTACATAGTGCACTGTTTTTGACCAGTGGGCAAAAGTAGTGCACTATGTAGGGCAGGTCTCTCCAACCCTGTTCATGGAAAGCTACTGTCCTGTCGGTTTTCAATCCAACCCCAGTTGTAACTAACCTGATTCAGTTGCTCAACCAGCTAATTATTAGAATCAGGTGCGCTAGGTTAGGGTTGGAGCGAAAACCTACAGGACGGTAGCTCTCCAGCAACAGGGTTGGAGAGCCCAGATATAGGGAATAGGGTGTCATTTGGGATGGAAGTCTTGGGCTACTACAGGACTCGTTCAAGATAGTTGTAGTGGCTTGGTGCACATCCACAGTTGAGTTGGCTAAGTGACTTATGTCTGCTGTGATTTGCTTAGGGGATTTTGTGTTCTAGGCTATTTTATGTCTGAGCGTGAATAGGGCAGTACATAGGGCACCAAAACCGATTCAAATGATCAGAAGTTTATCTCACTCACTGTCGCTTGGCTCCGTTTCAGAAGAAATGGTGGCAGTTTTTCATGTCTGGTTGTCTTTCTCTCCCACTTTCTTTTGTTTCCTGCTCTTTTTCATTCATTTACGGTCTCCCCCCCCCCTCTCGCTCTCTCTCAGTAACTACAACTCTGTGAGGCACGTCCCCTCTCTGGACTCCATCACCTCCTCTATGGATGGCATTCACCTCTGCCCGCCCTCCATGGAACCAGCACAGGTAACACACACAACTGTCCACACTTTCACAGCTCCATTCTGAAGTGCTCAATGCAGAAGCGTGACAGACCCAATATTATTTTGGCTGCTGAATTTTTCAAAAGCATCGATCATCATCTCACCTCATTGCTGCACTTTTGCCCAAGGGGGCTCGATTGGAAGTCATTTGAAAAATTATGGCAGAGAGTGATGCGGGCGCTGGAGATGGGGGTGTGAGCATGTGCGTCTGGCCAGGTGTGATGTAGTTGATGTTTGTGTGACGTTGTCGTTTGTATATGTATGTTTTGTATTGTTTAAAAATTAAATGTTAAAATTAGTTCAGTCCACTGCATCATAGTTCATTGAGTCATCGATTCTCATATTCAAGGTATTGCCCTTTCCTAACTTGACTACTGTTCTATCTAAACTTTAAACTTATTTGAAAACCCCAGTAAACAGTTTAAAAGAAAGACCTTGCTCTGTCTGGCCCCCTCCCTCTACCTGAGTTAGTCATGTTAGACGGTACCCTCTACAACTCCCATTTCTTGAAACAGATCATTCTCTCTATTCCCTCCCGTCCCCCTTCCGTGGGTAGTGCCGCTCACCCAGTCCGATGGCACGCTTTGTGGGCTGGGAGGGCACCGCACGCTCCCTCAGCGAGAGCAACTCGCCCACCGCCTCCGTCCGCTCTGGTGCCCGCTGCACCCATGCCCGCTCTGCCAGCCACGCCAGCCGCAGGGACACCACCGTGAGAAAACTCACCCCTTACTGGCCCCCTGTATAGCCCCCCCATGGCGTAAACCCCCCCCAAGCATGGCCCCCACATAACTGTGTGTTTGTGTGTGTGGTCTTTACCTCGTGTGTTGGTGTCTGTGTTTTGTGTGATGTGGTGCATGTATGTGTATGTTTTAACACTAGAAAGGCCTGACCTCGTTGGACCCCCCCCCCCTTCGTGCCAATGACACGTCTTTTGGACGTCAATGTTCTGACAGTCTAATAAATAGATTTCATATATGCTATTGGAACAATAATCATTTTTCAGGTCTTATGTAACAATAGAGTACACATTTTTTGGGGATAACATTTTCATTAGTTTATGTTGCTATAAGCTATATGGTAAAAATGAAAAACCACTAAAGACACAGAATTTCAAGTGTCAAATAAATGTTATTCGTGGAGTGTAATGAAACAAAAAACATGTACGTTGGAACACAGTAACCGCTTCTTTTTATAACGACAAAACAAATAAAAAATACCCAAAACACCAAGAGGCGCGGTCAAATAAAGAAAATATCAGTTGCCTAAAAAATCAGTATAAGCGCCAAGTGTGCTTGTGAATAGTGAAAATCAGCACAAAAGCAATAATGGCATTATAATTAATGTGTCGATATGACAGTAGTCAATTATTGTCAGTTATCGGACACATTATTTGTGGCCTCGTTCGTGCAGTACAGTATGTTGTGCATCTTCACGCAATGGCATCAGTTGAATCTCATTTAGCTGTTATCCCTTGTCCTAACAGTTGACACGTTTTGGTCACCTTCACTTGCTTGCAACACTTCCCACAAACAAGTTGCTTGCAGCTGAAACCGGTATTGGGGGTTCTGTTCCAAGTGCACCCCCTCGCTGGGAACTTGGCTCGCGTGCAATCTTTGCTGCTGCCTTGGCCCTCATATGTCTCTCACGTAGCCCGTGTGCCAGGACTCATGATGAAGTCTCTCCTGGTCATGGTGTTGTTCGTGCACTGCTTGAACAACACGTGCGCGTTGATAGCAGCCAAGTTAAGCATGTTGTAGAACACAGCAACAGGCCAGCGGCGAGTTCCTCCTTTCGCTGAGCCATCCTTACAACCGTGCCATCTGATGTAAAACATCCACACCGACCTATGGAGTAGAATAGAGTAGAAAAGGTTAGGATTATTTCCCCATAGGAATTATTTTCCAAATGTGACAGTTCTCCCCTTGCCAACGTAAGGTTCCACAAGCATCATCACCACATTCTCCGACGCTCGTTCACCTGCTGCCCGATATGGATACTTTCCCACATATGGAAAGCCGTTCAGCATTTACTTGGTGTCAGCGGCTAACCAAAACTTGAGTGGGCTGATATAGGGTACTGTTTTGAAATTATAATTAGAATAGATTAATTCAATAGAATAGCCCTTCATTCACAAATGGTGATTACATAATTATGCATCGTTCGCTTCCCCTCGCTCATCAACTCACCCTTTCTCCCCCATCATACAATGCTTAATTTATTTAATCTATTGTTATGTGTGAAATTAGTTTCGGTATAGTTTAGGTTCAGTTTCGAGGCAATTATCTGGGTGATTATCAACTGGCCACGGCACCTTCAACTTTCTGGAGAAGGAGGGGGGCAGGCCCTACTGTCGGAGGGCCAGCAGGGGAAAACCATTCAAAAAATGACATGCCATCCTAAAACTGGTTGTAACACCAGTTCTAAAGTTTTGTGATATTAAGATTCTAACAATGACAGTGCATTCGGAAAGTATTCAGATCCATTCTGAAATAGATTTTTTTTTTTTTTATAATCCTCATCAATGTAGCCCATAATGACAAAGTGAAAACCGGTTTTCTGTTTAAAAAAAAACAACAGAAATACCTTATTTACATAAGTATTCAGACCCTTTGTTATGAGACTCTAAATTGAGCTCAGGTGCATCCTGTTAACATTGATCATCCTTGAGATGTTTCTACAACTTCATTGGAGTCCACCTGTGGTAAATTCAATTGATTGGACATGATCTGGAAAGGCACACACCTGTCTATATAAGGTCCCACAGTTGACAGTGCATGTCAGAGCAAAAACCAAGCCATGAGGTCGAAGGAATTGTCCGTAGAGCTTCGAGGCAGGATTGTGTCGAGGCACAGATCTACGTTAGGGTACCAAAAAAAGTCTGCAGCATTGAAGGTCCCCAAGAACAAAGTGGCCTCCATCATTCTTAAATGGGAGAAGTTTGGAACCCCCAAGACTCTTCCTAGAGCTAGCCGCTCGGCCAAACTGAGCAATCTGGGGAGAAGGGCCTTGGTCAGGGAGGTGACCAAGAACCCGGTGGTCACTCGTGACAGAGAGTTCCTCTGTGGAGATGGGAGAACCTTCCAGAAGGACAACCATTTCTGCAGCACTCCACCAATCAGGCCTTTATGGTAGAGTGGCCAGACGGAAGCCACTCCTCAGTAAAAGACACATGACAGCCCGCTTGGAGTTTGCCAAAAGGCACATAAAGGACTGACCATGAGAAACAAGATTCTCTGGTCTGATGGAACCAAGATTGAACTCTGGCTGAATGCCAAGCGTCACGTCTGGAGGACGAAGCATGGTGGTGGCAGCATCATGCTGTGGGGATGTTTTTCAGCGGCAGGGACTGGGAGACTAGTCAGGATCGAGGGAAAGATGAACTGAGCAAAGTACAGAGAATCTTGATGAAAACCTGCTCCAGAGTGCTCAGGACCTCAGACTGGGGCGAAGGATTCACCTTCCAACAGGACAACGACACTAAGCACACAGCCAAGACAATGCAGGAGTGCCTTCGGGACAAGTCTCTGAAATGTCCTTGAGTGGCCCAGCCAGAGCCCGGACTTGAACCGGGTCGAACATCTCTGGAGAGACCTGAAAATAGCTTTGCAGCGATGCTCCCCATCCAACCTGACAGAGCTTGAGAGGATCTGCAGAGAAGAATGGGAGAAACTCCCCAAATACAGATGTGCCAAGCTTGTAGCGTCATACCCAAGAAGACTAAAGGCTGTAATCACTGCCAAAAGTCCTTCAATAAAGTACTGAGTAAAGGGTCTGAATACTTATGATATTTCGTTTTTTTTGTATTTTCTTGGTATAACTTTGCCTGTTTTCGCTTTGTCATTATGGGGTATTGTGTGTAGATTTATGAGGAAAAAAAACAATTTAATCAATTTTAGAATAAGGCTGTAACGTAACAAAATGTGGATAAAGTCAAGGGGTCTGAATACTTTCCGAATGCACTACATTGTTTTATTAGTTTTGAGTCATTATGATTCTCTCTGCCTTTCTTGTGTTAAGCATCCTATGTCCCTGTATTGTTTGGTGGTGTGTGTGACGTGACGTTGTCTTTTCTTGTCCAGTTGTGTAAAATGAATGATTCCAGTGTCTGTGTTTAGTGTGTGGTTATGATCGAGTACTGTATATGTGGGAGAGGGAGAAAAACAGCTTTCGCTAATTTACTATCGGCCCATGATTTGACCTGAAAACGGAAAATTATCAACTTGATGTTCTATATAACCCAACTAGCCCCCTCCTGATGGCCTAAGAGCTCCTAAAAGCCATTGCTCTCAATAACACTTCACCCCATATATTAGAGCTGTGATAATAATATAGTGATTATATATATATATATATATATATATATATATTATATAGTCTTTTTTTGTAATATAGAGTTCTAATATGTCATTCTCTGTTACTGTGCCTCTTGAACTCCCTCCAGTCGTTATCGGTGATCGGCTGCCCATCCTTGTGTCTACATCCTGTACTTCAGTGTTTGTTTGCTCTGCCCTGCCCTGCCCTACCCGGATACATTAACCTCTGTTACATATTATTTATTATCATGTGGACTTTCACTTCTCGGTCACATCAAACAGGCCACTGCTTGTTTTGTTTTTGCATGAGCTGTCATGTATATGCATATATTATAATGGAATGTATGATAGAATTTATGTAAATCTAATTATCCATCTGAAATTATACAATGTGTCTGTATTTAATGGTGTATCTATCTGTTTATAGAGTATAGAATATATCATATCATCTGTGTATAGAATGTCTATCTGTATCTAATGGTACATTGAGTTGGCAGTGGCACAATGTGATGTTGGGGTTTGTTTCAGGAGGTGAGCGGGTCGGGACCGATCGGGTCGGGCACAGAGAACGGCACGGCCATGCCTCCTCCACACAACGCCTACACACAGCATGGAGAGAGGGTCCGCGCCATGTCCACATCCGGAAAGGTAGCAAACACACCCACAGAGAGAGAGAGACTTGCACGCACACACACAAGCAGAGATACACGATACACATACAGACACAAACACACACACACACACACTCGCACCTCCATAGAATGCTTATCAGTTTGTACTTTGATATATGGTCAATGATTAAAGCAAATAAGCACCGGTCCAGTGCATTCCTCCGTTTGTGAATCATTGACAAACCAATCAGACTTTTTGTAGTCCATTCATAATTAATGAATTGTACGATAATAACTTAAGAAATATTTCCACCAGGAAGTGATGGAAAACACCTTACATTTCATAGGCATTATTCCAGGGTAAATATATAGCTGTAACTAATTATCTTCTAACAACCACGTAAGTATAGGCAGTAACCGTTATTACCGTTGCTCATTTTGTTTTCCCAAAAAAAAAAGGTGGTAACTGCATGATTGCATCTACCAGTATTTACTAGGGTGTAATTCTTAGTGTTCAGCTGACGGTGGCAGCAGAGGCCAAGAGGTTGAGGAGGGATTCTCTTCTCTTGTACACATTTCCCTTTTCTTTTTCTTTTCCTAAATGATGATCTATCTTCTTCCCTCCCTCCCTCCTTCCTTTCTCCCTCTCATAGCCCCAGAGTGCCCGGGAGCAGCTGGCCCTGACCCTTGGCGGAGGGCTCAACTCTGAGGCCCCCCGCACCAGCCACGACTCCCTCCACTGCTCCAGCGGCTACAGCACGCAGACCACCACGCCCTCCTGCTCCGAGGACACCATCCCCTCCCACGGTTAGTAGTGACCACCACTCACCACCATCACCAAACCCCTGCCACGGTTAGTAGTGACCACCACTCACAACCATCACCAAAACCCTGCCACACACCACTCCTGGGATACGTCCCAAATGGCACCCTAATGCCTACCTAGTGCACAACTTTTGACCAGAACCTACTATCCCCCAGTGGTCACAGCACTGTGTGCATGTCCCTCTGTCTGTCTGCCTATCTGTCTGCCAGTATGAAAATGTATGCACTCACTAACTGTAAGTCGCTCTGGATAAGAGCGTCTGCTAAATGACTAAAATGTTAAATGTGATGTATGTCTGTCTCTCTCTCTCTGGCTCAGCTAGCTCTGTTCTTCAGTTGGTCTCGGTGTCTGGGATCTTATAATGCATTCTTGTCTTATTGTTTGTCTGTCTGTGTATTTGTCATGATTGAAGTATTGTCTATATTTGTACTCTTCGGTCTGTTTTCCTACCTGCCTTATCTGTGTGTCTGCATATGTGTCTGTCGGTGTGTCTGTGATCGTTTTGCAGTGTGCCGCATGCATTCATCTGTCATTTCACAACCAAAACAGAACCACGTCTTCACTTTTGTCCCATCCCTGTGTCTGTTTCGACAGCATTATCACAGCCCTAGCTAGGTAGCGTTAGCTAGAGCTAGTCGGCTAGACCTGCGCCAAAAATGCGTTATTTTTCATCCTGTAGCTATTCCTCAGTATTCTTTTTAAATAGTGAGCCAATGTGTTTTCAGCACTTTTATTTCCACGACTGATCAAAACTAATTGTCTCCTGCTCTCTCTTGTCTCTCTGCAGCAGTGAGCAATATTTTTGGAACATCAAATCACAATACAATTGCAGTATCGAATCGCAATACATATTGTACCGGCACCTACAGTGCATTCGGATAGTGTTCAGACCCCTTGACTTTCTCCACATTTTGTTACGTTGCAGCCTTATTCAAAAATTGATTCAATTGTTTTGTTTTTTCTGATCAATCTACACACATCCTCATAGTGACAAAGCAAAAACAGGTTGTTATTCAGACCCTTTACTCAGTACTTTATTCAATCACCTTTGGCAGCGATTACAGCCTCGAGTCTTCTTGGGTATGATGCTACAAGCTTGGCACACCTGTATTTGGGGAGTTTCTCCCATTCTTTTCTGCAGATCTTCTCAAGCTCTGTCAGGTTGGATGGGGTGCGTCGCTGCACAGCTATTTTCAGGTATCTCCAGAGATGTTAGATCGGGTTCAAGTCCGGGCTCTGGCTGGGCCACTCAAGGACATTCAGAGACTTGTCCCGAAGCCACTCCTTCACCCCAGTCTGAGGTCCTGAGCGTGCTGGAGCAGGTTTTCATCAAGGATCTCTCTGTACTGTGCTCAGTTCATCTTTCCCTCGATCCTGACTGGTCTCCCACTCCCTGCCACTGAAAAACATCCCCACAGCATGATGCTGCCACCACCATGCTTCACCGTAGGGATAGTGCCAGGTTTCCTCCAGACGTGACGCTTGGTATTCAGGCCAAAGAGTTGAATCTTGGTTTCATCAGACCAGAGAATCTTGTTTCTCATGGTCTGAGAGTCTTTAGGTGCCTTATGGCAAACTCCAAGGGGGCTGTCATATGCCTTCTACTGAGGAGTGGCTTCCGTCTGGCCACTATACCATAAAAGCTTGATTGGTGGAGTGCTGCAGAGATGATTGTCCTTCGGGAAGGTTCTCCCATCTCCACAGAGGAACTCTGTAGCTCTGTAGGTGACCATCGGGTTCTTGGTCACCTCCCTGACCAAGGCCCTTCTCCCCCGATTGCTCAGTTTGGCCGGGCGGCCAGCTCTAGGAAGAGTCTTGGTGGTTCCAAACTTTTTCCATTTAAGAGTGATGGACATTTATGTTCTTGGGGACCTTCAATGCTGCAGACATTTTTTGATACCCTTCCCCAGATCTGTGCCTCGACACAATCCTGTCTAGGAGCTCTACGGAAAATTCCTTCGACATTACGGCTTGGTTTTTGCTCTGACATGCACTGTCAACTGTGGGAGCTTATATAGACAGGTGTGTGCCTTTCCAAATCATGTTCAATTGAATTTACCACAGGTGGACTCCAAGTTGTAGAAACATCTCAAGGATGATCAATGGAAACAGGATGCAGCTGAGCTAAATTTCGAGTCTCATAGCAAAGGGTCTGAATACTTATGTAAATAAGATATTTATGTTTTTTATATTTAATAAATGTGCAAAAATGTCAAACGTTATGGGGTAATGTAGATTGATTAGGGAGAAAAATAATTTAATCAATTTTAGAATAAGGTTGTAATGTAACAAAATGTGGAAAAAGTCGAGGGGTCTGAATACTTTACGAATGCACTGTAAGTATCGTGATAATATTGTCTCGTGCAGGGGCCTCCCGAGTGGTGCAGCGGTCTAAGGCACTGCATCGCAGTGCTTAAGGCGTCACTACAGCCCCGGGTTAGATCCCAGGCTGTGTCACTGCCGGCCGTGACTGGGAGACCCCTGAGGCGGCGCACAATTGGCCCAGCGTCGTCCGGGTTAGGGGAGGGTTTGGCCGGCCGTGAGTTCCTTGTCCCATCGCGTTCTAGCGACTCCTTGTGGTGGGCCGGGCGCCTGCAAGCTGACTTCGGTCGCCAGCTGGATGGTGTTTTCCTCCGACACATTGGTGCGGCTGGCTTCCGGGTTAAGCGAGCAGTGCGGCTTGGCAGGGTCGTGTTTCGGAGGACGCATGGCTCTCGACCTTCGCCTCTCTCGAGTCCGTAGGGGAGTTGCAGCGATGGGACAAGACTGTAACTACCAATGGGATATCACGAAATTGGGGAGAAAAAGGGGTAAAAGTACACAAAAAATTATAATTGTCTCATGCGGTATCTTGTTTGTTGTATCAAAAGCCTGTATGCCGAGATGTAAAGCCATACATAGGTTATCAGGGACAATGCCTACAACCCGAGAATGTTATTTTACTCCAGTTTGATCCCTCAAGCATCATGGTGCTAGATTGTCACTTTTGTGAAGCATCCCCCCCATTCAACATATCTGTTGCTTTTGATAATAGAAAATGAGCTCACAATAAGTTGTTTTTCTTTTTGTATATAAGTTAAATGCAATTCTATATTCTTTTTCAGCTATAAAGAAAGAGCTTCCTCTTTATGGTAGGTTTCTTGTCCATTACTGTTTAGATTTGTCCCCTCTCTGTTCCTCACAAGTGAAATGACAAGATCATCCACAGTGATTTAGTGTGACATCTGTGCTGTGTGAGTTCTCCTCATCACATCAAATGGCCTTTTGCTAGTGAAAGGAAAGCGTTAGCGTAGAACATTTGGTGTGTGTGTGTGTGTGTGTGTGTGTGTGTGTGACCCCTATACGTGTCTGTGCGTCTGTGTGTGACCCCCTGTGTGTATGTACAGTTGAAGTTGGAAGATTACATACACTTAGGTTGGAGTCATTAAAACTTGTTTTTCAAACCACTCCACACATTTCTTGTTAACAAACTATAGTTTTGGCATGTCGGTTAGGACATCTACTTTGTGCATGACACAAGTAATTTTTCCAACAATTGTTTACAGACAGATTATTTCACTTATTCACTGTATCACAATTCCAGTGGGTCAGAAGTTTACATACACTAAGTTGACTGTGCCTTTTAAACAGCTTGGAAAATTCCAGAAAATGATGTCATGGCTTTAGAAGCTTCTGATAGGCTAATTGACATAATTTGAGTCAATTGGAGGTGTACCTGTGGATGTATTTCAAGGCCTACCTTCAATCTCAGTGCCTCTTTGCTTGACATCATGGGAAAATCAAAAGAAATTGTAGACCTCCACAAGTCTGGTTCATCCTTGGGAGCAATATCCAAACGCCTGAAGGTACCACGTTCATCTGTACAAACAATAGTATGCAAGTATAAACACCCAAGGGACCACACAGCCATCATACCGCTCAGCAAGGAGACACGTTCTGTCTCCTAGAGATGAACGTACTTTGGTGCGAAAAGTGCAAATCAATCCCAGAACAACAGCAAAGGACCTTGTGAAGATGCTGGAGGAAACAGGTACAAAATTATCTATATCCACAGTAAAACCAGTCCTATATCGACATAACCTGAAAGGCCGCTCAGCAAGGAAGAAGCCACTGCTCCAAAACCGCCATAAAAAAGCCAGACTACGGTTTGCAACTGGACATGGGGACAAAGATCATTATTTTTGGAGAAATGTCCTCTGGTCTGATTTAAACAAAAATAGAACTGTTTGGCCATAATGACCATCGTTATGTTTGGAGGAAAAAGGTGGTGCCTTGCAAGCCGAAGAACACCATCCCAACCGTGAAGCACGGGGTGGCAGCATCATGCTGTGGGGCTGCTTTGTGCACTTCACAAAATAGATGGCATCATGAGGAAGGAAAATTATGTGGATATATTGAAGCAACATCAAGAAATCAGTCAGGAAGTTAAAGATTGGTCGCAAATGGGTCTTCCAAATGGACAATGACCCCAAACATACTTCCAAAGTTGTGGCAAAATGGCTTAAGGACAACAAAGTCAAGGTATTGGAGTGGCCATCACAAAGCTCTGACCTCAATCCTATAGAAAATGTGTGGGCAGAACTGAAAAGGTGTGTGCGAGAAAGGAGGCCTACAAACCTGACTCAGTTACACCAGCTCTGTCAGGAGGAATGGGCCAAAATTCACCCAACTTATTGTGGGAAGCTTGTGGAAGGCTACCCGAAACGTTTAACCCAAGTTAAACAACTTAAAGGCAATGCTACCAAATACTAATTGAGTGTATGTAAACTTCTGATCCACTGAGAATGTGATGAAATAAATAAAAGCTGAAATAAATCATTCTCTCTACTATTATTCTGACATTACATTTACATTTTAGTCATTTAGCAGACGCTCTAATCCAGAGCGACTTACAGGAGCAATCAGGGTTAAGTGCCTTGCTCAAGGGCACATCGACAGATTTTTCACCTAGTCGGCTTGGGGATTAGAACCAGCGACCTTTCGGTTACTGGCACAACGCTCTTAACCACTAAGCTACCTGCCGCCCCGGTATTTCACATTCTTAAAATAAAGTGGTGATCCTAACTGACCTAAGACAGGGAATGTTTACTAGGATTAAATGTCAGGAATTGTGAAAAACTGAGTTTAAATGTATTTGGCTAAGATGTAAACTTCCCGACTTCAACTGTAGGTGTTTGTGAGTGAGATGTGAAGGAGAGACAAAACCTTTGCGTAAGTGGATGAGTGGAGTTCTTATGTGAGTGATTGGGCATACGCACATGTTTTGCGTATGTGGTACTGCCCGGAAATGGTGTTTTAGTGTGTTTACCATCATCGCCTGATAACAGGTCACCGCTCCGTGCTGACTCACCCCCTTATCATACACAGACAAACACACACTCACCCTAATTTCTTCCTCATCAGATACTACTGTTGTATTTTTCTTTATATATTTTTTTACTTCCTGTCACAAACTGGCCAGTGATTCAGCATTGATACAGAGCCCTATGTCAAAATGTGATCACTAGATGGGGAATAGGGTGAAATTTGGGATGCAGACATAATTAGGTTATTATGTTTGGGGCAAATCTGGACTCTTAGAGTTTCTGTGGTTCTCTAATAAGTTTTACATGTCTGATTCCCACCAAATACGTCAAGTCTTCAATGCAGTCTGACGTACTAAAAATACTAACTTTAGCGTAGAAGAGCTTTGTGCCACGGAACATTCTTGCTCTTGGTTTATAATGGAATGCATCAGGTCAGATTTTCCACCCCAGGCAAAAGCGTCTGCTTTCTTACCATGTTTTTTTTCCCAGTTAGGAAAGAAATGCATTATGTGTTCCTCCACTCCAAGGAACCACAGGCTTACTCTTGTTCCTCTTCCTCCTCACCCCTCCTTTATCCCTCTCTCCCTCCTTCTCTACCCACCAGACTACGACTACATCTCCCTGCACGGGGGCGAGGAGGCGCACCATGGCCCGCCTGACTTTGACAAGTCCTCCACCATCCCGCGCAACAGCGACCTCAGCCTGCAGTACCGCAAGATGATCCAGAGCAAGCGACCCGCCTCCACAGTCAGCTTGCTGGCCGAGCCCGAGCCGCTGGGCTTGTGCCAGTCGCACACTGCCACCATCCGCCGCAAGCCCTCTTCCAAGCCTGCCTACCGCCGCGGCACCATCAGTGGCGGTGTGCCCATCCCCATCTGCACCCCCCAGGTGCCCCTCAAAGCCCTGGGCGTAGGAGGAGAGGGGGACAGCGGGAGCAATGGGGACATGGGGCCACCAGAGGGTGGTGTGGGTATGAGCAGGACGGTGGACCACGGACTGGTCCACGCCAAGCACAGCCTGTGCACGTCCACCCAGAGCCTGAGTGCCATGCCCTTGCACCATTCTTCGTCCACGTCACCCTACTACTCGCTGATCCCGGGCCAGGCGCCAGTTCCCATGGGCAGCTCGGAGCAGCTGTACCAGCTGAGCAAGCAGCAGCAGTACGCCCTGCACCAGCAGCAGCAAAAGCAGTACCAGCAGCAGCACCTGCAGTACAACCAACAGCAGCAGCGGTATCAACAGCAGCCCCAGACACAACAACAGCAGCAGCCGTTTCAATTTCAGCAACGGTTCCAGCAACAACAACTGTACCAACAGCAGCTCCAGCAGCAGCAACAACAGAAGCTCCAACATCAAAAGCAACTTCAGCAACAGCAGCTCCTACAACAACAACAACAACAACAACAACAACAACAACAGCAGCAGCAGCAACCGATTCAGCAGCAGTCTCATCTCCCACAACAACACAATACGTCTGCCACTGCCAACCAGCTGGTGGAGAGCGGGCACTGCCAGCCCCCCCAGCAGCCCCCTGACGCGGAGGAGCCCTGGGGTGGCGGAGGTCACATGGTCACCATGATCCGGGGAGTGAAACTGCGTCGGACCCTGACCAACGACCGCTCTGCCCCCTTCATCCCCCCGGCCAGCCATCTCAAATGAGCCCCTCCCTACCAGTGTAGGTTGTCATCGTTTTGTTTTACGGTTCTTGCTTTTCTTTTTGCCCCGTTTCCAATATATATTATTATTATATTTTCTCCTGAGAATAAAAAAGGATGTTGCCTTTTTGGAAATTTGGTCTGGTGTAAAAGGCTTCCCTCTCTCCAATCAAATGATTATTATAATCTTCCTCAGATGGAGTCGTAGGTGAATATGGCCTCTTTATCGCTCTGTAATTTAAGATGTTTATACATACGAGGATACGTGTTGGCTATATAAAAGCATTTGAGGTCATAGATCAGGGGTATTCAACTCTTACCCTACGAGGTCCGGAACCTGCTGGTTTTCTGTTCTACCTGATAATTAATTATACACACGTGGTGTTCCAGGTCTAAATCAGTGCCTGATTAGAAGGAAACCATTTAAAAAAGCAGTGGAACTGGATTCAAGGTCCAGAGTTGAGTTTGAGGGTCATATATTATAAAGTTCTATGTTTATATATTGTTGAGAAAATAAGAAAATGCTTTGCTTACTTAGTCTTATCATCACCTTCATGGTCGGAACCAATAGAAACCCACACATATGTATATATTAGCGTGATATGCAGATGTTTTTTTTTTATTAGTCGACGAAATAGCAATGGCATCTTTTCTCGTAGTCTTATTTTTGTATAAAGAACAAGCGCAGGGTCAAAATGAAGAGGTCCTGCTTTTTCGCCTGTACTAGGACCTGTGTAAAAGGACACGGACGGAGCTCCTGAATCAGGCTTGGCAGCTCAAGTTCTGATCCAGGGGCAGTGTCAATGGCAAAGACTGAAACAGTGGACGTGTCCTGAATGATCCCCTGAGGTAAATTTAAAGACAGTCACTTTGAAAAGGAAGAGGAGACTGAAGAATCGGACACAGGACTTAAACCTCTATAGCTTTCTCATCTGGATCTCGTTCATGATGTGATCACGTGAGCTCAATCACTCTCCATGTACTGTTAGGTCCACAATGGCTTGAAATGCTTCGAGCTGGCTTTTCTATGTATTCAGTTGACTTATTTTTCTCTCTAAATCAAACACACACTTCTTCACCTTCTGTGTGGCGGTCGACTGTACCAGTGTTTGAGCCAATCAGAGGCTTGCACTGCAGGGCAGAGAGGGGTCACTGGGTCAACAAAGGGCTTTGTGGGGCTTTTGATAGCAGGGGTCAGGACTTATGTACCGTAAGCTCCTTGAGCTGGAAAGTAAAGCCACCATTGTGTGGGATGAGGAGGACTGCAATGCACTCAATCCCAGCGCTAATATACACTGAGTGAACAAAACATTAAGAACACCTGCTCTTTCCATTACATAGACTAACCAGGTGAAACCAAGTAAAAGCTATGATCTCTTATTGATGTCACTTGTTAAATCCACTTCAATCAGTGTAGATGAAGGGGAGGAGACAGGTTAAAGAAGGATTTTTAAGCCTTGAGACATGGATTGTGTATGAGTGCTATTCAGAAGGTGAACGGGCAAGACAAAATATTTAAGTCCATGCCCTGACGAATTGAGGCTGTTCTGAGGGTAAAGGGGGGGGCAACTCAATATTAGGAAGATGTCCTTAATGTTTTGTAAACTCAGTGTATCTTGAGACGTTCTTCACATTGCCAAGCACATTGATTTAGTGATGTATCTGGTGTAGTTTCTGATGGCCCGGTTCCCCGTAAGTTTAGCACCTCTGCTAGATATCCTCCCTATATCAAGTCTACCTGAGGTTGGAGTTCTGGTTAATGTTCAAGTTTTTTAAAAACATTATTTCAGGGTAATCAGTCTATTTTATGAGGAACATATGGTGCTATTGTGACATGCCAATCCCAGCCTAGATGAACCACTGACTCCTCTCCCCCCTGACACATGATGCACTCACTGGCCATATTAAGATATTAGGAAATATCAATTTTTCTAATGATATGATAACCGATGTTGCTGACCAAGCAAGCTTTCGAAACAACTTACGAACCATAGAAGTCATGTGAGGAGACTCGCTGTTTGTGGAGTGGCAACAGTTTTCCGGGCTCTGTGCTGTGGGTTAAAGTGGTTTTGGGCTGTTCCTGGAATGTGAGCCCCACCCAACTGTTAATCACACCGTGGGGGAGGAGGTTGTGAAATCATTTGATTAAAGGCAAATGAGTGATATTGCATTTAGAATATGTTGACCATTTTTGTTCGTCTTAACCGAACCACTTTAAATGTGTGGGGGTTTGGGACCTTTGGACCTTCTAGCCTTTACACATAGCTACTCTTCCCTGAAAATATCCTCCCCTCAAATGTATAGAGAGAGAGAGCGGTGTAACCAGAGAAGCTATCGTAAAATACAGACTCCTCCGCTAAGTGCATATCCCTCTCCCCCAACATTAAAGGAGACTCGGCACCCAGCTGGGCTGGGTTATTCTCTCCTCCGTCTCACGTCCCCCCCCCCCCCCCCCCCCCATCCCTCCCTCTTTTATTTTTATTTTGAACCTCCCGATTTGTGTAGGAGGCCCAATTACCTGACACCACTCGCTGCCTCACACCTTTCACCGGGTGCATGGAATGACCCCATTGGCCGGTTTAGCCATTGTGCGCCCACCTCGTCTCTGGCCTCTTCATGTTGCCGAGAGAAACGCCCCCCCCCCCCCTCCCTCCAGAGGAACTACAATGGCCTTTGTTACAGGATAGGTTCAGACCACACCACACCACCTGACTCAAGCAGCTTTAAAGCAATATCGGGCTTCATTTGATCCACAGCTTTAAGTTCAAGTTCTAGGCTGCGAATGGTAATTACAGTACAGTGCGCATATCTCCCTAACCCCAAAGTATGAAGCGGCAATGCCCTAGCAGAATGAGCGGGGGTCGTGGATAGTCAAATTATGGGGCAGCTGAGCTGGGACATTCCCTCTCTGTTGGGTTAATTGTATGTTATCCGATAAGATTTGTGTTATACTGAGAAGAGCCCAGAGATATATTTTTTTCTTCCGTTTTAGTGAAAGAAATGATCCAAATTCCGTTGTATAGACTAACTTTTAAGAAGGTTTGTATGAATGTAACATTTCTATTTTGAAGGATCCTTTTCAGGCCCAAAGCATGTTCTAAAAGCCATGTTCCAGTTATTTACCTTGACCTTGACCAATGGGTTCTGGTCAAAAGTAGTGCAGTGTATAGGGTGCCATTTGGGACCCAGGCTTTCTAGTCTGTTACCAAGGCCACTCACCGGCAGTGTGTGAGAGACTGAGACTTGGTGAGAGTTGACAATACATTTAGAAAATATCAAATGGACACTAAAGCCCTTTCCTGCCGATCTTGACCCCAAAGCCGCCCCATAGAGCTCCGACTGACCAACCCTTCTGTTGATCCTATTCTCTAAATGGAGTTGATCTCTCATTGTAAAAGCGTTCAATTGCAATGTCACAAATGCGCCTGTGTAGTGAAGCTGAAGCCTTAAATGAAAAGTAATGTGGGTTTAAAAAATATAAATGCATTCAAAAAGTTGCTCCTTGTCTTGTTTTTTTTGTTTTTTTTTTATCTCAAAGGTCGAACACTCATTTTTGTGATGTCACCTGTTTGTTTACAGCTGTGGTCTAGTCTGGTAACAAAGCTGTGTGAGGACTTTCTTTCTCAATCTGTATTTGTTTAAAGGGCTACTTTGGGATTTTGGCAATAAGGCCCTTTATCTTCATCCCCTGAGTCAGATGAACTTGTGGATACCATTTTTATGTCTCTGTGTACAGAGATACCCATAGACTTCCAGTCAATGCGCTAATGCTAATTAGCATTGGCTCGCAAAATTACCTCTAACTTCCTTCATACCGGACACAGAGACCAAAAAAATTGTAATGACTCGTCCCCCTGTCTCACACTGACACACACACACACTAGAAAATGGGTGCATTCCACAGTTAGCGAGGTGACACAACAACCAATGGTTGCGTGCCACGTCATCGACTGTGTCATCGACTGACAAATTAATATAACGTGGTTAGCTGATACTTAAAATACCTATCCATGCGTTGTAAGATCTGTCAGCAACGTCTAAACGTAGGAACGCGCCCAATAATAGCAGATGCATCATGACTAAGCAGACAGCGCTGCACAGTAACTGGCAGGTAATAAGAGTGGGATGATCTCATGTAGGGCAGGATTGCACGACTATTGCTCTGCCGCGTGACCGTGTGACGTGTTCTCACTCTGGGCCACTGGGGGGCATCACACACCACCATTGGCATACATGTACAGTAGCACAGTACTCATTACAAATCGAGTCTCAAGGTAGAAATTGCACCCATCCTACCCAAGATCTAGCATCAGATAACCCTACCCCAAATACTAACCATAAAGAGATTATCCGGTACTTTGTGGTCCCCTGAAAAATTGCATACTACGTCACATATGTGCACCACGTTATTGCTCTCTCTCTCTGCTGCGTCCACTGAGCCGTTGGGCCCACCCTGCAACCTCATTGGATAATGCTTGGCAGGCCTCTTGCTAGCTGTCACTCAAATGCGAGGGGCTGGAGCTCATTGACTAGAACTCGAATTGTTAGGCGGCTGGCCCACGTGGGGGGAAATGTAGGGAAAATGGCACAGCACAGCTTCAAGAAAACAGTCACTTTCGACCTAGGGATTTCGTGGCTAATTGAGGGTAAACAGTAATTCTGCTCGTAGATTATTCATGTATGAACTACACATTGACACATCCAGCCCAAAGCGGGAGGTTAAAAAAAGTATTTCTTAGTCGACAAAGTACTGGAGCATGTCTTTAACCCGTTAGAGGGATTCAAAAATCTTATCCTCTATCACTGGTTAGGGACAACTTCTACCTACTCCAGTTGGCCAAAGACCAGAGGCATACCAGCCATTCCCTGATGTCTTATTCAAACAAATCTGGACTTCTCAATGATGGTTTTGTATAAATTTGTAAAATCTGAGTGAAATCACTGCAGATCGTTCCCTTCCCCTCCCTCCACTCAACTCCACTCGGAAGTCCATTTCTGTTTGAT